TCAAAACCAACGAATGAAACCAAATTAAGTAATACAACTTGGAACCATTAAGGCCCTTATTCAAAACCCAATAAAAGTAGTAAGTGATTAAATTTAGTGTTCAAATAAATTCAAACCCAAAAGAAATAGTGTCGAATAAAATCGAATTAAAATAAATTCAAACTTGCAAAAGAAATAAAATGCAAACAACCAACTCTCTACTCAAGATCCCACAACCCTGATGAATGCTGCATGTGTAAGAACCTGTGGTAATTCTGCTCCCCAATATTACAAGTGTAAAAATTGGATCGTCACAGGGTCATTGAAAGGCGAAGGCCATGACCAAAGAAAGACACACAAAGCACGCAATCAGCAAAGCTGCGTACATACAAGCTGCAAAATAAATTAAGAAATCCATAACATGCTAGTAATAATCAATCATCATGCATCATTAAATTATAGACTCAACACACGACTCAACTATTTATATTACTAAGACTCCATTAATTAATAATAGGTAAATCATTATTTTTATTCATTGGATTACGCAATAGACAAGGTTGTCCAACCCATGCTCCATTTGGAACATCAATAAAAGAAAAACCCCATGCCACTACTAGAAATGATCCATTTACCGATGGCAAAAATCCATCGGTAAAATTGTAAAAAACCATCGGTATATCATTTCCCGATGGCTGCCATCGGTAAAAAACCATCGGATTATAATACGTCGGGAAAATCGAAAATACCGATGGAAAAACCATCGGTAAACTTAATACCGATGGTTACCAACTGTCGGAGCCTTTTTAAATCTCGATGGCAAAAGCCATCGGTGTTTTGTTCCTGATGGTCAAAGCCATCGGTATATTTGGATCACCGATGGCTTTTGGCCATCGGTAATTTTATTAAAAAAATAAAAAAAAATTAAAACCCCTGCCTACCCACCCCCCTGCGTACGGCCTTGCCTACCCACCCCCTGCCTACGACCCCTGCCTACCCACCCCCCTGCGTACGGCCCTGCCTACCCACCCCCTGCCTACGACCCCTGCTTACCCACCCAACACCGCCGCCGTAAGCCACTAAGCACCGCCAACCATCACCACAACCCTGTTCCACCTACCACCACCGCCGTAAACCACTCAACACCACCAACCACCACCCGAAACACCCTAAAAATCAACACTAAACAACCCACAAAAATCAACCCCCAAAGAAACCAGAAAAATAAACAAAAAATCAAACATTGATGAAAATTAAAGTTAAAAAACAATAAACACACGAAATTCAACAAACACACCACGGAAATGGTAGAAAATTAAACCCACAAAAATCACACAAATAAATCCACAAAAAAAAATTAACTTACAAAATTAAACAAAAAATCCACATACCTTTCAAATTTCTTCTTTTTTGGGTTTAAATGGCTAAACTCGACCATGAAAATTCTAGATCTGGAATTTTCATGGTCGAGTTTGACCAAAAAAACCGTAACCTCGTGACGGTGATGGTGGTAACCCCAAAAAATTGTGCAGAGAAGGGAGGAGGAAAGTCAGAGAAGAGAAGGAGAAGAGGAAAATTAAAGGTGAAGATAGAAGAGAGAAGAAGAGGAGAGAAAAGAAAGAATGAGAGGATAGAGGAGATAGAAAAGGAGAGAGAAGAAGAAGAGGAGAAGCGTGAATGAAGGAGGAAGAAAGAGAAAATGAAAGGGGGCGGAGGAAGAAAGAGAAAGTGAAAGAATAAAGGGTATCCTCTAATTTTTTTTATTATTTTAAGAAAATACCGATGGCTAATAGCCATCGGTAAAATACCGATGGTATAAAGCCATCGGTATTTTTATTTTACCGATGGCTTTTAACCATCGGTAAAAAAAATTAATTTTCTTTTAAAAAATAAGGTTTTACCGATGGATGAAAACCATCGGAAATAATATACCGATGGTAAGGCCATCAGTATTTTAAAAAATACCGATGGCTTGATAAAACCATCGGTAAATTATATTTTTACCGATGGATTTTAGTGGCCATCGGAATTTCCCATCGGTAAACACGCGTATTCTTGTAGTGTGCCTCCTTTCGGAAACATCAATAAACACCAACGACCACGGGCGCGACTCCGTGACCGTAGTTAGTATGAGATCTCACCTAACTCCTAGTTTTGAAAAGTATTTGAAATAAGAGACTCGTAGATCAGACGACCTCGAGAAAAGTACACGGCTAGTACCCCATGTACCCCAACCCCTGATTGTCATTACTCCAGAAGTGCACCAATCCAGAGTTTTATTGCTCATCCATCTTGCACTTTACGTGATTTACAGGTTTAGACTTGGTGATGACTAATATGCATAACAATACAATCAATCCAATATCAATTCAATAAAGTAAAACAACTTTTCAATTTCAATTCTTGATTTATTAGTGGCAAGCAACATTTATTATTTATTCCTTTACTACCTCGGTGTATAAACACCTTAAGTGCATAAGACTACCCAAAACCTTAACATCGTCTTAGAAGACTTAAATTCTTCCTTTACTCATCCTGCTTGCATAATCATGAATGAGTAATAAATTAATCATTACATTAATCATATACCTTTGCCTCTAAGCGCACCTTGCATAATTAGAGCACAAATAATACTTGCAATATAAAATAGTGCACGTCATACGAAATTCACAATGTATAACCAAACAATTTAACTCAGTCATCCCTATACATGATACTAAGTTCTCGATCCGTCCTTAAACATGCACCTAGCTACAAGCAAGGTTTCGTAACTTGCATGTACCTTGAGCAAACGAATTGGTATGCCACTTTACTAACTAGAAATCACCTTCAATAAACTCCTCTCCTAAGCCAAATAATAACATCTCAATCAATACCCAATCAATCAAATTTACAGCAATACTAACTTACTTTAAAACCTTCAAAATCCAAATCAAACAACACTTTAAAACCTTCCCTTTAGTTAAAATTAAAGGCTTATATATAGTTCTTTAAATTTTCTTCATAAAAACCTTAAATACACTCTTATACATGAAATTACAGCAAGTTCAAAGTCTAATAAAAATCTGAAAATTATATAAAAACCCCTTTTAATCTCCCTTTTTAATGGGTGATTAAACCCTCTTTATAAATTTATTTTATTAGAAACTATTTCAAACACTTAAAAATTAGAAACTATTTCCAACACTTAAAAATTCAATAAAAACATATATTTATGCTTAATTAACTTTTAACATAATTAATTTTATTAATCAAACTCAAGGATAATATTTTAAGTATGAAAAAAACTTCGTTAAAATCAAAAACTGGCCGAAAATCATATTTAGAGGCTGAATTTGGCCACGAAAGGGTGGTACTCACTACCAAAGGTGGTGAGTTTTTCTTAAAACGTTGTTTCCACATGAAAAAAAAATCTGCTTTTTCATAAAAATCGGATGAGTTCAGAACCTGATCGGGATTAAAACGGGATTAATATTAATGAACGAAAATCTTAGAATTAAAACATGAATTTAAGTGTTCAAAATAATCTGGAATTAATTTAAACTAATCATCAGTTATAATCACCAAAATTTCAAAACATCATTACTATAAAAGCCCTAAATCAATTGTTCATAAAAACCCTAAAATCATGACTTTCAATAATTAAAAACCCTAGGTTATAAAATTTACAAAATCTGAAAATTATGACACTTATAAAATCTGAAATTATAAATTTTAATCATCAAAATACAACTTGATACTAATTAAATTACTTTCAAACAATAAAATCAAAATCCATAAATCAATAATTATAATTATACAAATTAATAAAACAAAGGAGAGAGAAAATAAGACTAACCTTTTTGTGTGGGAAATTTTTGGAGATTCATGGGGTATTTATAGGAGAGAATTATTGTAGGGTAAAAAGGAAGATTGAGCCTCATAAAAATAATGGGTCGATTAAGTAAACAAATGGGTTAGGCTTGTGTGATTGGACATAAATTGTAGAATAAAGGTGCATAAAATAATTTGTTCAAATAATTTTCGACCCAGATTAATAATTTGAAACTTTTGAAATTAAATTATGAAAAATAACAAATAAATATTATAAATAAAATAAATTTACATTTATAAAATATTTAAAAATACAGGGGATTACAGAATTCCCTAACCAAACTTGTCGATCCCCTAGCTCCCTTAAAGCATCTCTCATTTCTACCTTTCCATAGGCCCCATAGAGTAGCTATAAACAAAACACATCAGGCACTATGTTTACCATCCTCGCTTTGTATGAGCATATTGAGTCGGTGAATGCTTGGAATTTTTGACCTTTTTTTTTAATTTTGTAATTATAAAAGGAACGCCTGAAATTTTAGAATCACCTTCGGAACATTCTAAAATTTTAGGCATTCAGGGGGGAAACGCCTAAAATTTAATGCCTAAAATTTTAGACTGTTATGGGGAGAAAAGCCTGAAATTTTAGAATGTTCTGAGAAAGATTCTAAAATTTCAGGTGTTCCATCCATAGAACATTCTAAAATTTCAAGCGTCTGTCCGGAATGACTAAAATAATAATAATAAAAAAAAGTAAACAAGTACCTAATCGCCAGTTGCAACCCCCTTACCTTTCCGATTTTCTGATATCATCCTATATAGCCGGTCGCAATCATTGGTGGTAATGAAAATGTGGTGGCTTCGCTTAGTGGTGATGGGATTGTGGTGGTTTGATTGGTGGTGGTTGTGGATAAAATTCTTAAGGTGAAGAGAGAGAAAAGAAAAAGTGAAAGTAAGGCCCTGTTTGATTCACCTTAATTTTGATGAACTGAAATTATTTTTGTTGAACTGAAATTATTTTTACTGAACTGAACTTAATTTTACTGAACTGAACTTATTTTTACTGAACTGAAATTATTTTTACTGATTTTCTATTATAATTCTTTTTTAAGAAAACTGAATTTTACCGAACTAAACTTATTTTTACTGAACTGAACTTAATTTTACTGAACTGAAATTAATTTTACTGAACTGAACTTATTTTTACTGAACTGAAATTATTTTTACTTAATATTATTTTTTTAAGGTGAAAAAAAAACAGGGTCTAAATTCAACAACACCACCAACACTTTTCAAAAAAAATAACATAAGTAACAACCCGTGCATACCTACAATAGGTGGATAACAATTTCAAAAAAAAACCCGTGCATCGAACGGGTTAAAAGACTAGTTAACTCTCAAATAAGTAACCCGGCTACTCGGAGTATTATCATTTCCCAAAATAAAAAGTTTGTGACATAAAACATCAAAAGGGGAAAAAAGAAAAAAAAAAAAAAAAGGAAAAAAAGAAAAAAAAAAGAAAAAAGGTGAGGAAATTAAACGGAGGGAGTTAATTGAGTAGTACTCCGTAATCCGTATTCCATACCCAAGTGTGTGCAGGCTACCTGGCTATTTGTCTTCTCTCTCACTTTCTCAGTTTCCATTCAACCGCAACTCCACGTTTTCTCCATTCATTTTTCTAATTCTATCCTCCATTGAAGTTGCTTCTCAGGTAAGTTGTTGTTTCCTTTTCTAATCCTCATATCAATTTCACAATCTAGGGTTAATCGCTGATCTAATTTATTTCATTGTCAGTATACTAATTTTAGGGTTCCAATGTTAGAACTATTGATTCTAATTACTAATGAGCGATTATGTTGCTAGGGAAGAAAATTATGAGCCTAATTTTGATAATTGAATCAAATGTGCCTCTTCTCCCTAAAATTATGTGATTTTTGAGCTTGATTCAATAATTGAATCAAATTTGTTGCAGAACCCTTTAATGTTAGGAGTGAACTATGAAATTGGACCTCTTCTTCCTCCTTCCATGGCTCAGGGACGGGCTTATTTGCATTGTAATTTGAATTGGGTTTTTTCTTTTTTTTTGTTTGTAATAGTTCATTTTTTCCAAATTTTGATCTTTATTAATTTTGATCTGATTTCAGACCAACATTTTCTGGGTTGTAATGCCTTTTAATATGTGCTTTTTGACATGAAATGAAAATAAAAATGGATCAAAAATTTAGAATGTATACATGTGAGTATGTGTGAGTAGTCTTTGTAGTTTATTCTTGATAGATTAAAGAATGATGAAGACTTACTACTTTTGAAATAGCTTAAGCATGAATTTTTCCATTCAGATGACACAAGCTTTAATGCTCCTAGACCTTGTAGGCAACATTCGACCGTGGCAGTATGCTGCTGTTGATAGCCTTATCTTGTTACCCTGTATCTTTAACATTTTTTTTTTTTGAGGAAAATCCTGTATTTTTAACATTAGTTGACTAAATTAAGGTTACCCTGTATTTTTAACATTAGTTGACTAGATTAAGGTTATATATATTTGGTTCATTCTTCTGTGGGATCCTTACCTAAAAGTCTCATTGCAGATCCTTGTAGCTGGGTAGAGAAAGCTTTTATCATTGACGCTCACTGTGTAGGACTAAAGCCCCTGTATCTGCATATTGTTACTCAGCATTCAGTTATCAAGTTATGGACGATGGAATTTCAAGCTTTTGGGGTCCTGTGACATCTACCATTGAGTGTTGTGAGGAGAACTATGTTTATTCATCTTACATTGCGGAGTTCTTCAATACCCTTTCAAATGTTCCTGGCATCATTTTGGCACTTATAGGTCTTTTAAATGCCCTGAGGCAACGGTTTGAGAAGAGGTTTAGTTTTCTTCACATGTCCAACATGGCACTGGCATTTGGCAATATGCTGTATCATGCTACACTGCAACGTGTGTAAGTAATTCTTGTTTAATCTATAAATTTCTATCTTTTTTGCTGTAAGATGGTATTTCCTGGTCATCATTTTTATTTCTGTTTTTATACCCTTCTATATTTTAGTGATCAGGGATTAGAAAAAGATTCTCTCTCTGTATGTGTGCCCACGTGCGTGTGCACTTCTGTGCTGCTGCTTTCCTCTCTCTGTTTATTTTATTATTTTATTTTTTTTTATTTTTTTTTTGTGACTGAGAAAGAGGGTAGCGGTAACAAGAGGATTCTACAGAGTTCAGGTGCTAAATATTCATTTTTCGTGAGGGTGATCACTTTGGGATGGAGGCAGGCTGGGCTTTGGAAGAGTGAGATTACTGAGATATGGTGGCAGTAGAACTTCCTACTTTGGTTTATTCTAGAGGAGATAGACTCTCACAGTTTCAGTCAAGCATTTAGGGTGTTCTATGAACTTGTGCGAGGAGTCCCCTCTTTTTACTTTTATGAATGGTTAGTAAGTATCTTGTTATTAAGGTTTTAGATGAGATAGTCACTCACAATATCTTTATTCTATCCTTCATTCCATTGAAATTGTGAAGAGCCCTGTCTCTGCAGTGCAACTTTTCTCACCATGGACCCCACCCATTTGCTAGTATTGCTATATTAAGGAGTTCAGGATATGGTTTTCTACGTAACAATCTGAGAGTTTATTTTCTAGTGAATAGATTTTACTCCTCTCCTTGTAATACCTAGTTTTCCATCCCACTTTACTCAACTCATTGTGATATATGATCTCATTAGTCATTGCAATGTATGATCTTATTAGTCATTGTGATATCTTCAGCAGCTTGATACTTTCATTCAACGCATGAACACTTTGCCCAAAATGGAAGAAAAGGAAGTTAATAACTTAAATGGGAAAGGTAGATGTATTTTCTCCTCCATCATCTTTTATTAAGTTTGTAGTTCAAATGTGCCCCAGGCCCCCAGTCCTTGCAGTATTTTGTTAAACCTTGTAAAAATGAAAAGTTATAGCTTTTATTATTGTTGTTACTTTTTCTTCAAGTAATAGGTGGAGTTGAGATACTTGAGAACACACTGGTAATATAGCTCATTAGCTCTTCAGCTGTACTGTTTGATATCCTTCAAATGCTGTTAAGGGATATGTTTTTGTGTGAACTAGCTAATCCTGCATTGTCATTCACATTTTTAGCTATTTATAACTCTAACATAATCTGCTGGCAGGCATCAACATAGTGATGAAACACCAATGGTGTGGGAGATGCTGCTTTATCTCTACATACTCTACTCACCAGACTGGCACTATAAGAGCACAATGCCAACTTTCATCTTTTTCTACGGTGCTGCATTTGGTCTTCTTCATCATCTAGTTGGTTTTGATATCGGCTTTAAGTTTCACTATATGTTACTGTGTCTTCTCTGCATCCCTCGGATGTACAAGTATTATATCCACACCAATGATGTCTGTGCTAAGTGGCTGGCAAAGTTGTACTTGGTGACACTACTGCTGGGTAGCCTTTGTTGGCTTGTGGATCGTGAGTTCTGCAAGAAGTTTTCTAGCTGGGGTTATAATCCGCAGGGTCATGCCTTCTGGCATGTCTTCATGGGTTTCAATTCATATCTTGCAAATACATTTTTGATGTTTTGTCGGGCGCAGCAATTAGGATGGAATCCGAAAGTTGACCATTTCATGGGGTTTCTGCCTTATGTGAAGATTGACAAGCCGAAGACCCAGTAATTCAGTGAAAGCAAGCTTTGGGAAGAATAGATTTAGAGTAGTTGTGTGGTTTTGGCTTCTTCGGAGTCGATACAATTTTTTTAATGTAGGCATTTTCCCAAAGAATGTAAATGATATTTTTTGATTTTGATTATGAGTGAGAATTGTTAATGTAGAACCCTAGTGCATGGTCACGTGTACCATATTTAAGTTGTTCCTCAGTAACCAGCAATTTTGAAGTTGCTAACTTGTTTCTTTGTCTTCTTTGTTTATCTAGTTTTGGCAAATTGGCAAAATCTTTTTTTTTTTTTTGGCAAAATGTTAATTTGAATCTTTTGTTCAATCAACATGGCTTCCGCTACTAACTTCTTATTAATTAGCTTAGGTGTTTTGGTGTGCCAATAAATGATAGAAAATTTACTATTCACAGTTTCTTATAATTTATTCATTTATCATCACAAACTTTACGATCCTACTGCTCTGAAATGTAGTTTAACGTAAAAAAAAATAAAAAAAAATAAAATAAAAATCATAGACAATTGGTATAACTAATGCACCAATCTTACTGATTTTTATACCAACATTACAAGAACTTGGCATTTCTTAAAATATTTTGAGCTTTCTTCTAATATTTTGAGCTTACCAATAACACAAGTAAATCTAAGAAGAGAAATAAGGGAGAAAATATTGAATCTGATTGATTCTTCTTTCATAACAAACTACTGTAATAATAATATAATGCTAAGTTAGTTGTAAAGATAACAGAATGTTTAGGTAGTTAAGCTGAGTCATCAATCCAGGGCTCACTAATCCAAACAGAAGTGGTTGATTCTTGTTTGTTAGTTAACTTTAAAACTTGTAATTCCCTCTAATGCTTTTTGGTCAAAAAAAAAAAAAAAAAAAAGAAAATAATTCCCTCCAATTCTTCGTTTACTCTTTCTTCTACTCTGTCCTACTCTCTGTTCTTCTACCTCTCTCTTGTTCTTAAAATTCTGCAAAATTTCCTATTGAATATAGTCCCAGCAGCTCGAGTTCTAGAAGCATCCAGAATCTTCCTCCAAGAATTAGTTATCCTAGCTGGCAGATTGTAATTCTGTTAGATGATGTAATATTTAGAGCTAAGATATTTAGTTGTAAATATCTAAACTATAAATAGGTGTACTCTTCACCCTTAATCATTATTCATTCAGAAATATACCAAAAATTCTCTCTGTTTCTGTTTTCAGTCATTTTTTTGTTTCTCTGATTTTAACATTTGCCAAGAAAGCTTGGTAATTACTACAATGGAGGAAACAGCAGCTAAAAAGGCTTGTTCAGAAAAGTGGAAAAACATTCCAAAAGAAATACTGATTCGCATCGTTGAACGGCATGGATTGAAGTCGGAGCTTCACCGGCTTCGTGCAGTTTGCCCCTCTTGGAGATCATCCCTGTCTCTTCTGGCATATCGTAAACCCTGCATCAGTTTGCCGAAACACCCTGATCACGATGAGCCTGTTTTTCTTCTCCAAACACCTTTCTACTACATCTGCCCCCTCTCCTCTTTCGGGGTTCTTGCTACTCCTTGGGTGGCGAGGATGATCGAAGACGGTCCATCAAAGCGGCTGATTAACCCGGTGAATGAGGTCTTTCGGAAATACTTTGATGCTACTCCATCCATCAAGGGAGAGTTGGGGTTGAATCTTTTGGAATGCCGGGTTCTTGAACTTGCGAGGCCTATGCTCTTGGTTAAATTGCTGGACCAAAATCCCTTTACCAATCAAATATCAACTCAAGTGGTTGGCGGTTGGGCTATGAACACAAACTATAAGTTTGCTGTCTTGGTAGAAAAGAAATCAGGTCTAATGATGTGGAAGCTCGGTAACACAGAACGGATTCATATTGAGATTGATTCTCAAGAATCGTTGATATTGCTTTTCATAATGCAAAGTTTTACGTTGTCTTGCTCAAAAAAAGTCGTGGGAAACTTAAGAAGAAGAATCATGAGTTGAGAGTTGGCGTTATTGATCCAGAAAATGCAATGGTGATTCAATTCATCAAGCCACCCAATGTGGTATCAAGGAATGACTGCTATAATGAACTTGAAATTGATGGGGTTAATTACAGATTCCGGAATCTGAAAATGGTGTCGACGAATAATCAGTTGTATCTAGTCATCAATGGTAAGCATGACTTAGAGATGGGTTATGATGGCCTATTGTATGTCTTCGTATACTTGTTACAACAGAGGAAACATGGAGGTTGGAGGTGGGTGCGTGTCAAGGAGTTGGGTGATCAAGCATTTTTTCTGGGGTTCGGGAATCCTTGTGATACTTCTTTTGCTATTTCTCCTCTGAAAGATTATCTGCCTAATTGGGAACCTGGAACAATCTGTTGGTGGTTTCTTAAAAATGAAACATTTGGAAAATTGCAACAGTATTTTTCAGGACCTGTTGGCTTAGAGTTCACTCTTCCTAGGGGACTAGAGCGTCTCGGCTACATTGCTTTGCCGAGCTATGATAGTTACTATCACCTGTTCAACATTCACAGGCAGGCCTTGCTTCTAAAGGGGTATCAGACTGAGTGCCCTCTGACATCCAAGGACAACAGGAAGTATAGAGGCCTCTTTTTTCCACCGCCCGCATGGGTAAAATGGTACCTCCCTAACAAGGTTGAGGTCAATTTCAGAGGGTTCGACAACGAGCATGATGGTGTCTTCGGTGAAGAGCAACAACACAATGGTATTGCTGGTGTTGAGGAACATGGCATCGACGATGAGACTGCTGCTGATACCAATGAAGATGATGCTGCTGATACCAATGAAGATGATGCTGCTGATACTGATGAAGCTGCTGATACTGATGAAGCTGCTGTTGATGATTGATAAGGTTGAGCTAGGTGGCCGTTTGTCAAGATTAGGCAGTATCATAATTTCAATTTTTCTAGTTATGTAAGATTTTAGTTTCAAGCCGTTAAACATTTTGATAATGTATGTGTCCTCAATGTTTTTCATTTGACAAAAGAGGGGATTGTTAAATCCACCCATTTCTGTAAGCACTTAACAGCTTCTGAAAGCTGAATTAGTTCCAATAAAAATAAAAAACATTTGTAATAATGCCATCTGCTTATAGCTTTGCATATACACATTTACATGTCTTTACGTGTCTAAATACAAATTAAAAAAACAATAGTCCTTGAGCCATGCTAAAAAGTGATCCAAAAATTTCCCTAAAATATTTTGAGCTTGGCATTTCTTAATATATTCTGAGCTTACCAATGTAATACCCATAACAGAATAATTTGGCTACAACTAACTGATCATTTTTCATATTCGAAGTATAGACCATTTAGTGCTTCGGCCCCCATTAATTGATGATTCCTAGCTTCGTCGCCTCTAGGTGGCCCATCAATAGTGGAGTATAAAATATGTCCCAACAAAATAAGAAGAAACACAGTCATAAAATCCTCACAACATTTTAAGCTTCCTCTTTTTGCTATAACATCCTCCGGCATCAACAGGATCGGATCATCTTTCATAAGTTGAGATAACGTACCCTACAAATCACACAACAGGAAAACATCAAAACTCAAATTTGTTATCTGATTGACTTTCTTTCATAACAAACTACTGTAATAATAACAGAATGCCAAGTTAGTTATAACAAACCAATAACAGAATTCTATGTTAGATAGAAAAATAACAGAATGTCTAGGTAGTTAAGCCAAGTAATCAATCCATGTCTTATCCAGCTCACTAATCCAAACAGAAGTAAGTGATTCTTGATTGTTAGTTAAGTTTAAAGTCATCAACTATATCTCAATTCTTGAATTAATCGTCTATAAATAACCCCTTTCATACTTGCATTTCTGATAATATTAAGAGAATTAGAAGAATTTAGAATTGTATTTCTTGATCATAATATTCCACCAACCTCCATATTTATACAAGATCTCTCCTTGAGCAACAAGGAAACCAAAACTTATCTTAGGAAACTAATTATCTTTTCCTAAGATAAACTATAAGAAAATATATCTTGTAATCAAATAATATATCATATCTTTCCTAATAATTTCCCTTTCATAAATTCATACTTGTATTTCCCTTCAATTCTCTCATACTTGTATTTCTCTGTCTTCTACTCTCTTCTTCTCTTTCAAACTCCTTATTCTTCTTCACTTGAAAAATTCGAAATGGAAAGCAACAATCACCATGTTGTAAGGTTTTGATGATTGTGAAAAAATGATGCGTATCTAACTAACATGTGTATTGAGATGTGCATGAACAAGTCATGAAGCAAGAAGATGATTGAGTACAGGTTAGATCATTATTGAAGATGGTTCCAACATACAATGTATGGATCGTACTTAAGTTCCTCAGGGGGAACACAAAGAGAAGAAGAGTTTCCAAGGGAGAACACAAAGAGAAGAAGTCTAAACGTACAAACGTATCGTTAGACTTTGTATGCAGTTCCTAAGAAGAATGAGAAGTAGTTCTTTGCAAGGAATAAGCAGCAATTCGTATGTGAGAACAAGAGAAGAGAAGTTCCTTTAAAGGAACATAAGCTTTGGAGTAGAAGCTTCAAGACAGAAAAATAGGAGTATATTTTTCTAGGAATCATGTAAGTATGTTGGACACGAGAAATTGTTTGGAACATGCCTATGGAACTAAATTGGAACTTCAGTCTCGAAGGAACTGACAGTCTGGAAGGAACTGGGTGTTGCTGACCAGCCAGTTCCTTACGGGTGAGTCTAAAATTCGTGTATAAGAGAAACACACGTTTACACAGCACTAGAAGTCAGTTTTCCATGTTAGTAGTCATTGCATTATCTTTGCCTACTTTCTACGTAATTAGTTTTGACTTGGTATAATTTATTTTAAATAGATTTTATTTTATAAAAGATAAGTTTTTAAAAAATAAAATCTGATTTTCTTTTTAGTCAAAATGATATTTTATTCTCTTTATTTTCTCCTATATTTTAGGGATATGTTTTAGGTTGTTTCCTATCTAATCTCTAATTGGTTTAATATTTCAAATTAAATAGGATAGTTATTTTGGGATAAAATATTTTTATAAAATATTTATTTTTAATGAATAAATTCCGAATCAGTTTTTAATTGATAAAAATCTGATTTGGTTAGTATTTTATTTTCTTGTATTTTCTATTTTTATTTATTAAGTTTTTGGAAAAATAAAAATTACTTTTCACGTTTAATTTGAAATAGCTTTTTACTGGAGAAAAATAAGGAGATCATGGAGAACATGTTTTTAACTCCAATCCATGTCTTCCATTACTTCTTATGTTCATGGAGTTAATGGAGATAATGCCTAGAATTTAGGAAGCACTACTATTATGATTGAAGATCATGGGGTGAATGGGTTTGTCTTTGAAGCACTATAAAAAGAGAAGTTTTCATTCATTCCAAACTGTCTGGCTTAATTGAGTCATTCCATAATGGAGTTTATCCAAAGTGGTAGAGCAGTAGAAAAGAAATATATTTTCTCTCCACGTTGGTAAGCCAGTTCCTCCAGGTTCCAAGTTCCTTTCATATCTCAAAGTGTCCAACATATTAGTTTTATACATTATATCTTTTATATGTATTTGAGAGTTGTTTAAGGGTTTGAGTGAACTCTTGTAATGGGGAACTAATAAGGGTTTGAGTGAACTCTTGTATTAGGGTGAGAACTTGAGTGAGTTCTTTGTATGTAGAGAAGGCTTTGAGTGAAGCTTGAGAGAAAGAGAAAGAGTAAGGTTTTGAGTGAAGTCTTGAGTGAGAAGAGAGATCTTTGAGGGAAGATTTCGAGCTGCAACTATTAGAGGGAATAGTTGTTGGGGATATGAGTTCGTTGAGGAACTCGGTAGAGGCTCAAGTTCCTCATAGGTTGTAACAGAGTCGTTGGCCTATTTTAGTGGAATGTTTTGAGTCAAAATCCCTTTGGGTCGAGGTTTTTCACTTCCTATTTGGCCTAGGAAGTTTTCCTCGTAAAATCTCTCTTGCACTATTTCTCTATTGCGTTAAATTTCTTTTAATTCCTCAAAAAGTAACTAGCGATCTCCATACTACAATTCACCCCCCCTCTTGTAGTATTTCATCTAAATAACACACCAGAATAGATTATCTGCATGTGCAAGAATTGCAACATAAGACTTTAATTAACATAAACTCTTGAAACTAAACAAATAAAATTTTTGACGTTTGGAGCTCCTCACTCGTGATCAAGTTTAGACCTTTGGAAGCCTTGAGCTTGGCTAGTCGGTTAGAGCTCAATCGGATTTAGCCTTGAGCTTAGAGCTCAACGAGCCTCCAAACCCAGTCTTCACAGGACTCAATTCGATTCAACAAATGCGACACATTAACAAACAAATTCGACTCAATTTTCAGTGTTAAACTAATCCCTAAATTGTCGAATAAATATTCAATAATTAAACAAAAACTGCATCAATGGAGGAAAGAAAGCTCACCGCCGCAATGGAGAACTCGGAGTACTACAATGGAGGAGAGAGGGGGTTAATTTTTTTTTACCAAATTGTTGTCGGAGTTATTTTTTTTATCAATTTATTGTCGGAGTTATTTTTTTACCAAATTGTCGCTAATGGTTTTTTTTATTTCACATCAGATCTACTCCGTAGAAGATTATATCAACACTTCAAATTTATTCACAACTAGGTTAGATCTCGTGCCATGCACGGTTTTTCAATTTTTGTCACGGAGTATCAATTTAATTTTTTAAAAAAAAATCTCAAATCAAGCTGCTTAATTTTTTTTTATCTTTTTTGAATACATATTATATTGCTTATTTTAAACCTTAATGGCAATTTATTTATATTTCAAATATAATAATTTTTCATTTACCAAGTTGAAAAATATATATTCATAATTTTTTTTACTATAAATAATCATTATACATTAAAAAGTAATTATTAATATAGGAATTTATTTATACAAAGATATGGATAGATATTTATGTTTATAAATATATTATTCAACGATTATTTTCCCTAAATTTTGGAAGTAAATATTTTGCGTATATAATCTATCAATTTTTAAAAGTTTTATTTTTTATTTTTTAAATTTTAAAAAATATACTAAAGACACAACAAAGATTACTGGTGTGTCTTTTAGTGTATTGTTATTGATGATTAAGTTTTGTTCTCACATTTTTCACTTTTGATATAACCAAAATACATTCCTTTGATTTTTGGTTGCTATTAAAATTTTTGTTTTATTTTATTGAGAAATTCTACACTATAACTGTAACACCCCCAAAATTCGAGTCTTTAAAACAATAAGAGTAACCTTTAACTTTTAACAACCCAACCATCGAACTTTGGAAGTGTTACTGCTACACTTATTTTCCGTAGAAAATAAATGCAAAGCAAAAATAACATAATATTTAAATAAACTAAGTGGTCTAAGTTGTGGCAAAATAAAATAGTCATTACATCAAAACTGCAAGTATTGAAACCAATAATTGAGAGGAAATAATTAAATTCGGCAATAAACTAAATTGTCTTAGCTACGTGATTATTCTAACGTCTCCTCACACGTAACCGAGTACCCTTTTTACCAACCTGCAAAATAAATCAGAAACAAGAAAAGAGAGAAGACTCCCAAAAATCAGATAAACTGAGTAATTCCAACTCCATCCCGTAAAATAAATATTTTTAGTTCAAAACATTTTATACATAATATAGTCTCATAAATAGTTTAACACTCAACCAAGTTCAAATAGTCACATAACATATTATTACTTTATTTAAGAAAGGGAAAGAGAACGCCAGTAAGCCGGGACTAGTCCCTGTCACCACCTACTTTACAGAGGGTCGCGCGTAATCCCAATTGGCCATAAAATAAAACAGAATGTCCCTAGTGTGCACACCCCTCACTAATACCCAGTGATTAGGAGGAAGACTCACAGCAATATACAATAATTTAAACCAACTAGTAGCAACCATAACTACTAGTGGGGCAACATGTTCTTCACCCTTCCGGGTTTCATTTCCCTTCTTAAATTAAATTTCACTGCACATTTTATTTGCATAAATCATCACACTGTACACAAGTATTGCACAAATCAATTTCATTCCAAGTAACAATACTTCAATTTCAGTATTATTAGACCATAGTCATCGTACATGATATATAGACCATCAATCACATATAATCAATCATCCATACCCAAGATCTTATTTATTTTTGAAAGAAACTCATACGATATCAAATAATAAAAATTTTCGAAAGTACATATACTAGTATACAAAATAGAAATCTAATATATAATATGATTTCATAATATCATACGATATCACACTCATCACATATAATTACAACCTAGAAAATGACATCATTAAGATTAAAGGCATAGGGAGGCATGGTACTTTTCTATGTACAAGTGGATTAAAAGTAGTGGCAAAAAAAGGCTATAAACCTTAAATAATCAGGTTTATGGGTCTATTTACTGAAAGACGAGTCTCCATCATGTGATGCCTTCCAAGAAAAATTCGAAGTATCAAACTATATGGCATAAAATGTTCTATTGTGCAAGCACATGAATGGGTATGGGACCATAATTGGCTATATAATATAATTTCAAATATTCAACAAGTACACCAGCATACTATAATCCGATTCACATGTTCCTAAAGAGCTTTATTTCTCTGCAGTTTTCAAGCACAAGAACCAGTATAATCTCTACATATTCATAACAAAAGAAGCATTCAACACCTGCAACTTCACTCAAGCAACACCACTTTCCAGGATGCAAACATCATCATCTGTCTCATCACAAATGTACAACCCATACACCTACCACAAATCACACAACGAAGTTCCCTCGGTTCTGCTTCTCTTTGATCTCAACATCTTACTTTTACTTCATCTATAATAATATCAATTAGATTGTGATCAAATAATCACATAATTCATCTAAACTACTCCACAAATTACCAACAATTTAATATTAACTGTGTTTTGGGGTCAAATTACAAGAAAATTCATTAAAATTACTCCAGGAATCACCAGAATTCATCTAATATACAGTAATCAGTTTTTTGAACATTCATCTAAATTACTTTACACATTGCTAGAAATTTATCTAATTTACTCATTTTGAGGTCAAATTTCCAAAATATTCGTCTAAATTGCTCTACAAATTATAATTATCAATAAACCACTAGTTTTATCAATGGAGATTAATTAAATTACAGGAAAAATTCACAAAACAGGAAAAAATGATTCTTATGAGAAACATGAATAATGCATAATAAATTATTTACCTGAATCGTCATCATCATCATTTCTAATATTAGGGTTTGTACATTCCGATTGATGATTCATCAAATTCATAGCTGAAAATTCGAATCAAGAGTTCTTTCACTTCCCATACATACAAATTACAATAATTATCATAATAAGAGGGACAAAATCAAACTCAAAATCAAACATTACATAATAATTCAAACTAAAAAACAACAACCGAATCATAAAATCCAAAATCAAAACCCAAAAACTCAACGAAATCGAAACCCTAACCTAAATTATACAAAATTAACAAAACAAAGGAGGGTTAAACCTTGTGAGGAGCAGTGTCGCCATTAGACATCTAGGCATCGTTCTCCTAGTTTTTTAAGGGCTTATTCCATTAGAGACGACTGCGGTGGTGGTGGCAAGAAACTAGGATGGAGAGAGAGGAGGGTTGCGCTGGTGGTGACTACGGTGGGAAGCTAGGATGGAGAGAGTTGAGGGTTGCGCTGGGGGTGGCTGCGGTGGAGCGAGAAAAGAGAGGAGATGGAGAGTTTGAGAGGAGAGAGGAAACAGAACAAGAGAGTTAGAGATAGAGAGGAAAGAGTGAGGAGAGAGTGCGTGTTCTAATTTTAGGGAATTTTGGAAAAAAACCGGTGCCCTATTAAACCTGTTTTTATTTTTGTGGTCTAGGCTTTATTTTTGGCACCGGTTTTCAATAACCGATGCGCATTCGTCGGTGCGTTTTTATCTTTTTCTACTAGTGCTTGTAGTGATTTCGTATACTCAAGCCTACCACGGACGTTTATGACAACATATAATGATCATGTGTGATTTCAAACGGCATTATATGACCCTGAGATGTATCCCTTATGGTCTCAAGTTTGTTCGCCACTGGGCCCTAAAACCTTAAAATTTCTTAAAAAAGCGTGGATTAATAGCATTCAATTTTTTAATTTTTTTTTACCTTTTTTAGTCCGGAAATAAAAATTGCCGAGATGTTTACCATGGTCCCTTATATACTCCGGGTGTCAAATTGGGTCGGTGGAACCATCTAATATGCCCTTAAACGGTCATTTTACCTGTTCACAACTTGTAGTGATTTCGTAAACTCAAGCATACCACATACGTTATGACAACATATAATGATCATACGTGGTTTCAAACGGCATTATTTGACCCTAAGATATATACCCTAGGTTCTCAACACTTTTCACCACCGGACAATATTTCCTCAAAAAGCGTGGATTATTATAGCCTTCAATTTTGTAATTTTTTTTTACCATTTTTCATCCTAAAATACAAATTGTCGAGAGGTTGATTATGGTCTCTAATACCCTCCAGGAGTCCAATTGGATCAGTGGAACCGTCTAATATGCCCTTAAACGGTCATCTTAACCGTTCACAACTTGAAGTGATTTCGTAAACTCAAGCCTACCACGGACGTTTATGACAACAAATGATGATCATATATGGTTTCAAACGACATTATATGACCTCGAGATGTACCCTTAATTAAGGTCTCAAGACTTTTCGCCACCGGGCACCGAAACCTCAAAATTTTATCAAAAAAGCGTGGATTATAACGTTCAATTTTGTAATTTTTTGACCTTTTTTAGCCTGGAAATAAAAATTGCCGAGATGTTTACCATGGTCCCTAATACCATCCGGGAGTCAAATTGGGTTGGAGGAACCGTCCAATATGCCCTTCACGGTCGTCTTACCCGTTCACAACTTGTAGTGATTTCGTAAACTCAAGCTTACCACGGACGTTTATGACAACATATAATGATCATATATGGTTTCAAACGGCATTATATGACACCGAGATATATCCCCTAGGGTCTCAACATCTCTCGTCACTGGGCCCTGAAACCTCAAAATTTCCTCAAAACGCGTGGATTATAGCCTTTGATTTTGTAATTTTTTGACCTTTTTTCGCCCGAAAATAAAAATTGCCGAGATGTTTACCATGGTCCCTAATACCCTCCGGGAGTCCAATTGGGTCGGTGGAACCATCCAATATGTCTTGAAACGGTCATTTTACCCGTTCGCAACTTGCATCGATTTCGTAAACTCAAGCCTACCATGGAAGTTTATGACAATATATAATGATCATATACGGTTTCAAACGACATTATATGACCCCGAGATGTATCTATTAGGGTCTCAAGGTTTTTCGCTACCGGACCCCTAAACCTCAAAAAGCTTGGATTGTAGCCTTCTATTTTGTAATTTTTTGACCTTTTTCGCCCGGAAATAAAAATTGTCGAGATGTTTACCATGGTCCCTAATACCCTCCGGGTGTCCAATTGGGTCAGTGGAACCATCCAATATGCCCTTTAACGGTCATTTTACTTGTTCACAACTTGCATTTATTTCATAAACTCAAGCCTACCACGTACGTTTATGACAACATATAATGATCACATATGGTTTCAAACGGCATTATTTGACCCCCGAGATATATCCCCTAGGGTCTCAACACTTTGTGCCACCGGGCCTTGAAACCTCAAAATTTCCTCAAAAAGTGTGGAAGCTGTAAGAAAACTGACCCGATGCGAGAACCCAACCTTAACGGACAAAGATCTAAACCCAGCCTGTACTCGAACAATGGGGTGTAACTAGTGACCTATAACCTGTCTTGATCTCAACCGAAAACCCATTTGATCCAATACTTTATGGGATTTGTTAAACATCGCCCGCAAATCTCCACATAAAGCCCACAAAATTCACTTGATTTGACAATATTGCCCTTGACCTAAAAAAAACACTCACACTCTCATCGCTCATCTTCTTTCAACATCTCAAAAAAAAAAAAAAATCAAACAACGGCAATGTCGAGGCGGCAAGGCAAGGAATTGGCGGCGGCGGCGGAGGGAAGGAGGTCTTAAGGAGGCAAGGTACAATTTGTTAAAAAAAAAAAAAAGGGAAAACCGCCGTGACGGAGGAGGGGCGCCTTGGCCGGACGCCCAGCCAGCGGTGGTGGCGCCAGCTGCAGACGCCGCAACCAGTAGGCTGGCGCCTGGGCTGGACGCCATAGCCACGGTTGTGGCGTTTATTCAAAGCGCCGCAGCCGTGGCTATGTCGTCCAGCCCAGGCGCCAGCCCACTGGTTGCGACGTCTGCAGCTGGCGCCACCACGGCTGGCTGGGCGTCCAGCCAAGGCGCCCCCCCTTTTTTTATTTGTATTAAAATATTGTTTTTTTTTTTTTGTGTAATATCTTTTTCAATTGTTTTTATATTTTGTTGTTTATTTTTATAAACTTTATCAATTTTGTTGTATTTTTTCTATGTTTATATTTTGTTTACAATTATTTGTTTGTTTTATTTGTACATTTTAAAAATACAACTATTTTTTCTATGTTTATATTTTTTCTATGTTTATATTTTGTTTACAATTATTTGTTTGTTTTATTTGTACATTTTTATTTTTATTCTCAATTTCAATTTGTTAGTACATTTTTTTGTTCATTTGATATTGTTTTTGGTTAGTTAATTTATTTTAATTTTTATTATTGATATTGTTTTTGGTTAGTTAATTTATTTTAATTGGGAATGAATTATTTATGTTTATATATATTCTTATGTGTTGGTTTTATTTCCTTTCTTAGTGTATTTTTTATTCTATTATTTTTATTTAAGTGTTTTGTTAATTTCTTTATTATGTTAATTTGTTAGTATGTTTTTAGTTTATTTGATTTGGGTAGTGGTAGCTATTTTTCGTATAATTTTTTGTATGTTTATATATTTTTAAATTTTTTGTAGAATTCACTGCGTCGTCATGGTGCGGGGAAGAATGTAGAGCTTCTTAGTAGAAGCTATTCAGTGGAGAGGTCGGGGCATAGACATGTTAGATCCAGTGGTATTTCGGCCTCGGCTCGTAGAGAACGGATCCACCGTCGGGATGAGGATGACGATGACGATGATGATGCTGAGGAGGGTGACCAAGAGGAGGAGCAGGAGGAGGGCGCGGACGAGGATGAGGATGTGGACGATGGCAGTGGACCGTATGATGATTACGGTTCATTCAGTCAGAGGGTTGATGACATGTACGAGACACATATGGTGGAGGTGCGTAAGGGTAGGGGTGGTAGGTTTGTTAGTAGATCTGGCACTTCATCTGCGTCCACTGTATCTGGGGCAAGCAGGAAACGGTCGAGGGTCGTTAATGATTCTTGGGTTGTTAGGAGTGAGGTGCCCGGTGGGCCTGTTGACGGGAGTGTGATTCCTAGCTTTCTAGAACACATAGCTGCCCGTATTTGGGAGGACCAAGAGAGGCCTTCAGTTACGGGGTTGTTGAAATTTCATACCCGGGAAAAGACTTGTAGCTTTTTGCGTACATGGGCTGAGGCTTGGCCGGCGGAGAGGGAGATGTTCGAGCGACTGGAGGGCACTGGGGTGAATCACGTTCCTGCAACAGTGAGAGTTGTTGTTGATAGTCTGGAACAGACCCTTGCGCAGTGGGAGTCGTCGTCGAGGAGGGATTACTGATGGTTTTGTCATTTTATTTATAGAGCACTTTAAATATTATCGTTTTAATTTATTAAATTGGACATTATGTTGTAAGTTTGTAACATTTTAGATTGTTCTTTTAGCTTCCAACTTAAACATATTATCATTGCTGTTTTTAAATTTTGATATAACCGTTCGTGGATCCGCGCAACTTACCCATGCAACATATAGAATGCAGTAAGCAATACAATATAAAAGATTAATGTTCTCATTAAAAGAGCAACGTACAAATAAGATTACATAGGAAGAATGTAAACATGAAAAACTAAAATGCAGCTAGGGTGTTCCATTCGTGGATCCGGTCATGATATAGCGCATCCCAACCCTCTACGCTCGCTGTGCGAATGGTGTACCACCGAGGTATAATCGGTGGCACTGGAAAATTGGATGACATGTCTAGTCGGATGAAATGTCTGTATGACGACCCAAGAAACGCAATAGCTACCTCTCTGACCGGTGTGGTGACAGTCTCACGCGACCGCCAAGGGAGAACCGTGGTACAAGGATAATAAGCTTGACTATGCATTCCCAGGTCGAAATGAAAGACTGCGCATTTGTAAATGTTTGCAACGACAAACAGATCTAGGGGCGCGTCAAAATAATGATTTTGGCCGCAAGGTCCACCTCCCCACCGGATACGCCGCAGTGCGCCATCCAAGTCATCCTGGTACACATGACGATAAACATTTCGGTTAGAGGCAATTTCGTTGTACATCAACTGACGCACCAAACCGTAGTTGTCTTCGCCCATTTGAAAAACATCAGCCACGACCCGGAATCCGCAGTTACCATCTCCGACTACATCATTCCACCCTTCCAAGTACGGCATGATGATCGCAGGTATCCTTTCCTTGTACGGAAACTGATCAACATCGTTTCTTCCTATTCACCATATAGTTATAGACAGTTAAGAAGGCAGGAGTAACACTTTAAAACTATGTGCAATGTAAACAACCAAAACGTACCAGTTCTCAGGGGCATATTCACAGACGATGAAGATTGACTACGACTAGATGACGATGTCCGACCACGAGCACGACCACGACCAAGACCACGGATATACTCAAACGCACTCCTGTTCCGCCGTTGTCGACCTCGAGGACGGTCAACTCCTTCGGGTTCCTGATAATCTAAGGTAGACGTGTGGAACATGTCATGAAGTACATGAGTAGCGTCACGAATAATAGAAGGATGGCTGGAGGACACTCGGTCGTACATCGAACGAAACTGCTCCAACTCCTCCTGTTCACGGTCGGCCGTTTGAGTGTCTGCATGCTCACCAATAACGAGCGTCCTCCAGAAT